GTGTGTGTGTGTGTGTGTGTGTGTGTGTGTGTGTGTGTGTGTGTGTGTGTGTGTGTGTGTGTGTCCGTGCGTGTGTTTGTGTGTCTACAGCGCATGACGAATCGATCATCGCTAGATTGCAACTATAGCGACCATCGTAAATATAATACTCCCACTGCTCAAGCGCTGCCTTCAAAACAGTATCTGACCAAAACACATCAGCAGCTTTGTGATCAAATCATGAAGATCCACACCTTGTCTCATCTTTCTCTTGTCACTGCAGGGTTATCTATCACCATCGTCTCATCTGATTGTCTTCAACGCGGACGCACCAAAGAACAAACTGTGGGACATACCTATTACGCGCAAATGTCGCGTGTATGGCACGTTAACTAACTATAGACTAGGTTTAAACGGAATAGCGCGACAATATTGACGCTCAGCTTTCAATCTGCAAACCGAGAGATGACGGAACGCCGCTCAAACGCTCCGGGCAGCTATTAAATGATATCGGGCGAGGCGGATTTCGGTTCTTAATATTGCCTGTGACCGCCGCGAGGCGGCGCTGCCGAGCCGCAGTAAACAGATGCTAATATAAAGCCAGAGATGTGGCTCGAGGGGCCGCGCTATCGTCAACATGTCAGAGATGATCATGGAGTGGCTATATGAACCCGGAAAGAGCCGGGCGCCTTCCCATCGTACGGCTTTATATGGAGTCACCTTTAGGGTTCTGTGTTTCCTCGTCATGATGCGCTGAACAAAGCTCGCTCCGCTCGCGCGGAGGAATGTGGTCCACGTTGCCGCATTATAATGGTATATATCCCCTCATGGCAAACGTACGCCCTTATACATTGTGCATAGGCATGGACGTGTCTATCAGGTCGCATGGTGCTCTGCGCATGCGCAATGTACAGGGAGGGCGTTTGCCATAAGGGGATGTATACCATGCTACGCCGCCGCCGCCCGCTCTCCATTGTCCGGCAGTCCCCGCGCGTGCGTTTACTGTCGCCACGATCGGCACAATTCGATTTCATTTCGTGTTTTTTATTTAGTCAAACGTGAACCGTTGGTTAAACGCTACCAAAGCATCAAATACTCAGTTGTTAAACCAAATGCGAAGTTATATTAAACAAAAACCATCGAAAACCATAACCCATACGTTACCATATTGCTGACTACTAAACCTAATAGCGTCCGTTTTAAACCAAATGGTACCCGTCAAAGTCAACGGATATCTGTCACCCAGTCTGTAGGTTACTCTCCGACGAAACTAAATGCTAATCAAGCAAATTGTATCTACACCAAAGTGAAGGCTATCTATTTACCAAACCAAAAGCCTTCAAACGGAAAGCTACGCCCGACAAACTCAAATAAATACATGCGCGTGCTCACGCCCATGCTCAATCTGTCTTTCATCATCGACTCTCGTCATGACATCTATCAAAAGCAATTCTTTCCCTTTCCTGCCCTTCCCTCTGATTCCCTCCCTCCATTTTGCTCTCCCTCTTCTTCTCCCCCTTCCTCAACCCGCACCCCTTCTACTTCTCCCATCCCCTCTCTCACTTTCTTGCTCTTTACCACCTTCTCCTTTCTTCCCTGCTGCCCCTCTCCCTTCTCTTCCCACTTCTCTCTTTCTTCTCCTGCGGGTCTTTCCCCTCGCCTTCTTTCTCGCCCTTCCCATTCTCTCCCCCATCTGCGGGTCTTTCTCCTCCCTCTTCTTTCTCTCCCTCCTCCTTCCTCTCTCTCTCTCTCTCTCTCTCTCTCTCTCTCTCTCTCTCTCTCTCTCTCTCTCTCTCCCCCTGACCCCGTAAGCTCGGCGCGAGACAAAGTCGCGCCCTCTGATTAAACTCCGTAGACAAAGAGATGCCGACCAGTGATTAGGATCGCGCGGAGCAATCGAATTCGAGCAGAACCCGGGCGTGCTGATTAAAAGAATGCCGGCGTCGTCGGCTGCGGCAGCCGCGGTCGGCACGCGCCACCGATCCGCCTGCCGTGGTCGCGATGCACGCACGCACACAGGCACGTGCAAGCGCACGCACGCGAACACACAAACGCTCGCACCCGCGCGCACGTAAACGAAAACGCACGCACGCCCGGACGCAAACGCACGCACATAGGCGCATGCACGCACGCACACGCACGCACGAGCGCACCACGTAATAAAACGCGCATCTGGACGCGAATTTTACCTCGAGATTTCGCGCGCGTGTGACAAAGGAGCGGAGCGTGCGACCGACAACGCTGAACACTGCCGCCACCTGTCCCGCTATTATTACACAGCCATCCGCACACTGGCGTCTCACTCATTCCATCCCTCGCTCGCCTCTCCCCAACGACATCCGTTTACGCCCACGAACAGCATTACCCACAGGCACGCGAGTAGTTTAACTCGTGTGTGTTGACTGTTCGAATACCGACCTACGCACGCTTGCGAGATTCATACCTCTCTGCTTTATTGACAAAATTTCGATGGTTATGTAGGGACGTAGCTTGTATGTATAATTTAAAGTATAAATAATCAAGAAGACGTATAGAATTTGTGTTCACTAAAGAAATATATTGTTTACAAACAAACCGTCAGCTCGTCACGTCACGTCTTGTCTCGTTCCAGTCCCCTCTCAACTGCCCTCGCGTTTCTTAATATATCAACCCCGCATCCAATCACAGCCCAGTTCTACTCTACCCTAACCAATCACACGCCACTCTCTCTCTTGTTCGAATATTACGCGGGAAATCACATATGGTGAACATCTGTAACAAGCTCCACTTAACGTACGTAACCTATCCGTGTAGAACCCAACCTAACTACTTCTCATCTGTATGCTAAACACCCAACCCTTCTCCTATGTACAACTAAATCTATCTACTATTACTAATTCAATGAACATGTGTAAAACACACGTTACAGTTACGCTATTATTTATTTCACCTTAGAAGTCCTATTTTATTCGACTAACTAGTGTTACATATATACTATACAATACTATATATATATATGGGAAACGTATACACCACACGCGGCGTACATGATCAAATTCAACCGTACATGTGTGTATGCCTGATTTATTACACTCACGCCTAGTTAATATTAATATTAATGTCAATAATCTATTCCTAATGATCGAACTCAATTTGCGCAATATACGTGCGCCTGCATCAGAAAACACTCATGCAGCAATAATTGCTAACTTCAGCGGTGTTATTTACTCTCCCATCGGACATGACGTGCCAGCTGACGGTTTCCTCGAATTCCCTCACATTGCTGTCATCGTTCCTAAAGGCTGACAGCGCTGACATCACTCCCATCCCATTAAAACCTAAATCCGATGGGTCAATGCTACCTGAACACATTATCATCACACCGCCTCTAATGCATCCAAGATTCTCGCATAGGGTGTAGAACGTAGCGTGAACACATGTAGGGTGTAGAGTGTGGCACGTACATGTATAGTGTGTGGCGTGTAGCTTTAACATGCCTAGTGTGTGGCATGTAGCATGAACACGCGTGTTGTGTAGAGTGTAACCCGAACGTGTATAGAGCGTAGAGTGTACCGTGAACGTGTGTAGAGTGTAGAGTGTGCCGTGAACGTGTATACAGTGTACACGCGCGCGCACACACAAACACACACACACACACACACACACACACACACACACACACACAACAACAAACAACGAC